TAAGAGCACCTATAGGCAGAAATGACTGTCATGCAGTAACATGTGATGAAGCAGGAATTGGGACATCAGACAGTAGTGTAAGAAGGAAAGCTGTTTTATGTGGCTGTGTAGGGTTGATTAAAGTTGCATGTAACTTGTAACATTTGTATGGAAATCAAACACATTTATCAGCAGGTTACTAAAGTTAATGCTAATGGTGTATGAGGCGACTTGTCATTATAATGTTTAATGTGGACTGCCAAACAAGCTCTAAGCAGGTGGAACTAATGTGATTTAAGGAAGCATATATATTGTGATACCTCGACTCAATATAAAAATATCTATCTTGCTGTATGCCTCTTTGGATTAAGGTGCCCGTTCTGTACGATATATGTTGGATAACTAGAAAACAATAATAGCCATTGACAGAAAAAATAAAGGCTTCTTAATGTCTTAAAGGAAAAAATGATACTTATCCTTGAAGCTGACACATGCAGACAGATTATGAGGTGGGTTGCAGAAAAACACACACAGCTCCAGACAGGAAGTGCCCTGAAACGAGCGTCAATCTCCTTAATCCCTGGGCTCAGAGTAAATAAAGGCTCTGTCTCACACCTCTTGATTTGTGTTAGAATCCCTAGACTCATACACACTACCGCACAACTATTTCTCCCTTTTTCACTCACCTGGCACTTTAACATCCATCCACAATGTAGAAACACAGTCTGACATTAGTTAAGAGAGAACATGTATTCTACTGTAAGTCATCAGTGAGATTTGAGTTGGGTAAAAGATGGATTTGTTTCCAGAGAATGTTTGCTCAGATGGCTTTTTGTGGTTTCCTACAGCACTCTGCTTCACTCACATGCATCTAGGATCAGACCAGTACAACCACAGCCCACTAGTGCTGGTAACTAAGCTGCTGGAGGTTAAAAGTACTTTTCTCAGAGGCTTTTTGAAAGAACAATTTGATTTATTCAACTTCCCCCTCTCAGATTTAGCTGCTCATTTTGGGATTGAAGCCAGCATTATCCTGGTCCAGTGCCCAGTTTTGTCCAGCCTTAAGGCTATCACTGCCCACATAACATTTAGTTTCATGGGTCAAACGAACATTGAAACACACACGAGCATGGTTCATGTGTAAAGGGCGCATACAGCACATTGAAACGGAGATTGGAACATCTATAAGAGAGAGATATTTATTAGGACAGAGATCTGTTTTGGCTTGAGCTGATGCTGTGATGTTGCTTGTGCATTATAATTAAGAAGGCCACTCAGTAGGTGACTCGACCAATGTTGTAGGATGGACACAATATTTTCAACAGCTTTATAATTAATACTAGTGCAGTGTCTGTCAGAAATGTCACTTCCTTGTGTCCTGAATAATACCCCCGCCAAGTTTGTTGAGAAAGCGTATAAATAGATGTGTGCTGTAACTCTCCAGCCTGTCTTTCTGTTGTCTAATCTGTTGTTGAATGTGAGTGACGTTAAGCAACCAGTTCCCAGCATGCCGTTCAGTGTTGTACCCGCTAATAGGGTTCCCTTCTTAAATCATTACACCGTGTGTACGTATTGTATATTGGCAAATATTTTTGAACAATCAACTAGGATAGCTGGCCATAGAATACCATTAAAAACTGCATATTTCATGCTGGCTGGTACTGCGCTGTGATTGGTCGTCTACACTGGGCACACCTGGTCGCAGGTCTCTTAGGGATACGTCACATTTGAATAACTTGTTTTAAAATGTGAGATGTTTCGAGACTAATTTGCATTTACGATTTGGTCTTGCCTTGTCAGACTAGTACCAATACATTTTCTTTTGGAATAGTCCATTTTCAAGGGGGAAATATCCATATTTGCCTGTTGTTGAGAGTTAGAGGAGAAGGTTGATATTTGACCGTTCTTTAATATGAAGCTCCCTGAGTCTAAAGAATGGAAACAGGCAAAAAACATCTAGTTTTTATTGTTCTATATTGGTTTTTATTTACAATGAAATGTAATGATTGAAGGTCACTCCTGGCATTCATCATGAACTGCAGCTTGTCCTGATTTCCTGGCAATTCATTGACAGATTTCTAGGGTGATAATGTTAAGCTGGTTGGCAGGAGGTGGTGTCGAGTCGCCTCCAATGACCACTAAGCTCTTTCGCTTGCTTCAACCTTTCCCTCACCACTCCATGCTCCTTTTGTTTGAATCCTCTTTGCTTCCCTCCCCTCATCTCTCTGTCTCTTGCCTCTCACACACCATTATCACCCTTTTCTTTCATTCCCTCTACCTCCTTCCTTCTCTCATCTTTCTTTATCCATCTGTTCCATCTTCCTCTAAATCCTCATCTACTCCAAGTGTCAGTGCCAGTCTTAATCAAAGGGCCTCACCGACCTTCCCAACACTCCAATTCCCAGTTGGGAACAATAACCGAACATAAGTATGGCTACAGCCCATCTCGTCTCAATATCTGGTTTCTGTCTGCGGTTTTCTGTCCGTCTACTTTCCGTGTCCTTGGAGAAACTTTGAAGAGAATGGAAAGTTGGAGATGAAACACTCACACTGAATCTGTATTGACTTATTTACGTATAAGCTTGTATTTGTTTGAGAAACGGTGGGAAGAGGAAGAGCAAGTTGTCACTTCTCTCCGAAGTATTTCAAGCCTTTCATCTGATATATGACAACGTCAAAACTCCTATCTGTGGCTGTTGGTATGTGTCAACATCCATGCACATGTGGTGGTTATGTGAGCGAGTGACTACCCGGCTTTTATGAATCATCCAGGCTGCATCACAGCAGATTCTCACACAGACACTCCACATTGCTTTGAAAACTTGCAGCAGGGAAGATTGTCATTCAAAGATATACCTTCTCGTTATATTAATGGTTAAGGCAAAGCTGCAAGAGAAGAGTGTATCATCCCCGCTAATTTAGACCCTGCAGATTCACTCTATAAATGACATTTGTGATGTACAGTATGTGTCCTGGTGAGAATGCTTATCTGAAGATAAAAGACCAACTAGGTCCTAACCAATGATTGTTGTCGTTATATAATATCATCTATTCATTCATTTTGGCCACGCTAACAGCTAGGGCAGCTGATTGTAAACCTTTTTTTTAGATGGACATTTCTCAACTACCTGACGGATTGCAATTGAATTAAGCAGACTCATCCATTGTCTTCAGAAAAATATATTCACTTACAATGATTTTATCGGCAAATCCTTCGCATTTCAAATGACGGACACTTTTTATTTGCCAGGAACGTAGACAGCAATGACACAGAGAGCAGGCTGCGTGTTCTTAGGTATAAAACTATTTCCAAAATTTGGATCAATAAAGTATATCTCATCTGAAAGTGCCTTTTTGAGATAGAACACTTATATGCAGACATCTGAAACAATTGGGTTCTGGGTATTACATTTTCCTGAATTTGTTGAATTCTGATCAAAGTCATCTTGTTTAACTTTAAGTAAAGGCAGACTGATGTTTCAGGGTGACAGCTGTTAGACTTGTCAGTAGGAAATGCATTAAAGATGGCCACTTAGCAGTTAAAGAAACATATCTGCTTTAACAGAGAGGTTATTCCTAATGACTTAAAAGAGGGCAATTTAGTGGCCAAGGTTTAAGTGTGCCTGTGGGGATGTGTTGATAACGTCGGTGATGACTGGCTCTGGAGAGGCTGAGGCTGACCGGCTGTGGGTTCTGCTTCAACTATCTGGCGGCCATCTCTTTGGCTTTGATTGTCTGCTCTCTCTGGCTTAACTGATAGAGCCATCAAGCTGGAGAATCTCAAGTCCTCCCAGCAGGGACAGATGTTGATAATGCATGCTTTATTACTCAAATACACACTCACATCTACGCTGTGCCCATCATCATGTCTGAGGATTAACTGGATTTATGTCAAGTTGGGACCATAACTCACTAATGTCAGCAAACATGTATGTTTTCATTTCCTCTTTTGCTTATTTCATCTTGTGGGTGGCAATTGCAAGTATGAAATGTTTGCTGCTTTTTTATGTTGGGTGTGTGCCACAGATATCTGGTGTGTCATTCTCTCAAGACTGCAAAAGGATTGAAACAGGGCTCATGCCTTATTTACCCTGACGCTGCGACATCCTCCCTCTTTCTTCTGTGCCTGCAGAGAGGTGGCTCGTCTGTGACAAGGCTTTACAGGCCGGCTGCGATCTTCTCTGAAGCCCGAAATGTTGCATAAACCCCACTGTTAACCCAGGCCAAGGCATTTCTTAAGGGGGGGTCAGAGGCGTATGTTTGAGCACTTCAAAATGTGAAAGGAGCTGTTACCTGGTAGATACATGCAGGCTGGTTTATAACATGCTGACATTTTACCCTTCTTTTTTTTAATACTTTTTATTTATCGGTTTATTTCATTAAACAGATACACTTTGTTCAGATTATAAACTCATATTTTTGTATACAGTATAACCAAATCAAAACAGAAAAACCAAAAAAATAACAAGAATCTAGCTAAAATACAACATTACATAAAAACAAAAATCTAAGCAGTAATATGTTGTGTTAGATTAAAGGTGATAACAAAGCAACATTTCCCCCTTCTAAGAATTATTGCGTGTGCGTGTGCGTGTGCGTGTGCGTGTGTGTGCGTGTGTGCGTGTGCGCGTGTGTGTGTGGTACTCATAAAACATGTTCTGGCCTGGTGTGTGTTTGTTTGCACTGTTTATAGCTCCAGTATTATTGTTCTCAGATGCAAGCCCGTTGATTGTTTGTCAACACTTGTATTTCCACTTAAAGCACAGCAGTACTGGATATAAAACTCTAATAATAGCTGCAGCTCTTGATTTATAGCCCTCATCAGGGCCTTTAGGTGCGGATGTGTACGCCTCAGGCCCTGTGTCTATGTGAATACCTTGAGAATATGCAACAATTATCAGATTGCAAGGACAGGACAGATTTAGCAGACCTCTAAGATGACGGATTAGGCATCGGTGCCAGCAATGTGTTTGTTTCTCAAAATACAACGCTGTAAAGATTTCGGTGAGGACTATATCACAATGGATTTTCAGGAGGAGATGATGGTATTAAAAAGAAAAAACGGCAGTGGGAAACTCCTTAAATTGGCCTTTGCTCTGCCTCAGCGTTTGCAGAGATGTTCAAGGATCTAAAATAAGATGTTCAGGGTGCAGAGAGTCTTAGGGAAAACTGTCTCGGTTCAGTGAAGGAAGCCTTAACATAGCCCTATACACACACCATTAAAGTACACAATCAAAGAAAAACACATTCAAAACAGTTTCTCTGTCTGCTACATGACATGTCTGCCCAGGCCACCCAGCCCTTTCGGACATGCATTGGTAAACCCAGCCCCATTACCATGCATTATGCATAGGCCTGTCTCTTAAGTCCGATTCATGTAAAAGCTTCCCCTTAAAATAGCATGACTTGCACTGGTGCCTCGTCACAGTGACGTTTTAACTACGTGGAAACATTTGGTTTCACATGACTGTGAAAGTCAAGTCATTTTGTGTTATTCAGAACATCATATAAATGGTTATGTTCTAATTGAATGTTAAAAAATGATTGCAGCAAACATAATGAATTCCTAACTACTTACAATGTGTTCTCATCTTTGTCTTACAGAAAGAATGGCTCTGCCTCAACTGCCAGACACAGAGAGCCATGTCTGGCCAGCTGGGAGACGTGCCACCTCCAAACATGGCTTCCCCAAAGAAGCAAACACCTGCTCCTGCTCCCTCCTCCACCCCTGCCCCTGCTGCTGTAGATAGGAAACCTGTAGTAGAAGCAGCAGACCTAACCCCACCAGCTCCTGATACCAAGGTATTGCCTGAAAACATTCCCACACCTGACCTTGAAGTCCCTCTTTCCGTTAGCCCCCCTCCTCCTGATATAACCCAACAGGAAGCACCACAGTCAAAAGAACAACCACTAGCAGCTGAACCAGTGTCTGAGCTTGTAGTTCAGCCTGAACAACAAGGTCCGATTTCAGAGAGTGTAGCAGCGAGTGTCCCTGCAGTTGAGCAACAGCAGATTAGCTCTGATAATGCAGTAGAGGATCCTCCTAACTCAGAGACAAATGTGGATCAACAAGCACAGAGTTCACCTGTCAGTGAAAACACAGCAGGTGAAATACAGAGTAGCTCTGAGAATGCGACAGAGGACTTTTCTCCTCCTGTGGAAAGTGAGGTGCAAAATGTACTGACTAATACAAGTTTAGATGAGACAACTGTCCCTGCCGAGGTAGAAACAGAGCCAAAATTTGAGGTTGCCCCGATTGATGCTGCAGCTCCCCTGACAGATATTGAGAAAGTGGAGCCCACTCCAGAAATTCTTCCAGAAGTGACACCTAATTCAGTTGTGGCGAAACCTGCCTTGATTCCAGAAGCAGTCTCACAGGAAGGCCCTGTTCAGGTTGATCCAAAGCCAGATTCTTCAGCTACAAATGTAGAAGAGGAGAAAATAACAGATGTAGAACTTGATAAGCCAAGTGAAGAAGCCCATATAGATGAAACTACTTCTACTCCACCAGACACAGTAGAATCAGCTTCTAATGTGGAGCAAACAGACATCACAAACCCTGAAGCCGACAGTATAGCACCTGATGTTAAAAATGAAGATGTACAAATAGAAGCAGAACCTATAGAAGATAAGCAAGTACTGATAGAAAGTGCTCCTCCACCTGTGGTTGAGGTTGAGGAAAATGTAGCTCCTGCTGACAAAGTTGAGGTCCCTAAACCTGACGAGACACAGCAAGAATTCAAACCAGAGCCACCTAAATGTGTAGAAACGGATAGTCCTTCACTGATGTCAGAAAACATTCACCCTGTCTTAGCTTCAGAGGAGAATAATGAGGCAAATAAAGTGGAAACTAAACCCATCGAAAAAGAGGAGGAGCCTTCCGCACTTGTCCCAGCAGATAAGTCACCTTCTGTTGCTCCAGTTGAAGGAGAAACCAAAGAGGAAACAAAAGAGGAGATTCTGGTTGTGGATAAAGTTAATATTGAAGAAGAAGAAACAGCTAAGCTAAATATTCCTGATGAGGAATCAACATTTCCGATTGAAACAGTTAAGGATAATGCTGAAGAAATAAGTATTGAGGAGAAAGCTGTAGAAAAAGAAGTTGTTGAGGAGACAGTAAATGAGAATAAACCATCTACTGACAAAGCCGTTGAAGATGACAGAGTTCCGGAGAATGCAGCAGCAGAGAAAGCTATTGAGGTCAAAGATGATGAAGGGAAAGCTTTTGTAAATGAGGCTGTTGAACAGGAAACAGTTGGGAGAGCAAATGACCAGAAACCACTTGAGAAAGTTGATGAAGCTGAATCAAGTCCAGCACCTTCCTCTACTGAAACAACAAGTGTTTGTTATGTAATAGAGAAGAGAGAAACAGAAATAGCAAGAGAGCCAGCTCCAACTACTGCTGGAAATATCCAAACAGCTATAGATACAGTTTTAAAAGCTGGTGATACATCTGAGAAAGTTGTGGATGCATCTGTTCCCCCAACTCCTGATGACAGGAAAGAGATAGAACATGTTGATGTCAAGGAATCATTGCAAAGTGTAGAGATGGTGTCATCCTCAGCTGTCATTAGTGAGACAGAAGTCAGAGATGTAGCCTGTGAGGAGACACTTGTTCAGGATGAAGCAGAAGCTGGATCTCAAAATACAAACAGTATAGCTGAAAATCAACATGAAGTAAAGAAAGAGACGTTGACTCTGAAAGGGAGTGATGATGAACCACTTGAGAAAGTTGCTGAGCAAAAGGTGTCAATCAAAGAGGTGGAAGAAAAACCTGATAAAATAGAGGATGAGTCACAACCTGTTACTGGCAACATTCAGGAATCAGAGAAGGTATCAGAGACAAGCGCCGTGTGTGACAAAGATAGCAATGCAGAGTCTAACGTAGGAAAGAACGCAGAATCAAAGAAGGATGAATCTTCAGAGACAGATTTAGAAATTGGAGGAGGTGTATCTGTATCAGAAGCAACAGCCCCTGTAGCAGAACCTGAAATCCCAATGTCTCTAGTGAGTGAGCATGACAATGAACCCAAGGAGGGGAACACTAACGTGGAGGAGAAAGAGGAGGCTGTAACCCAGTCTCTGGGAAAGCCAAGTGATGAAGATGCAGTCGCTGAGGTGACCATAGTATTTAGCACAAGTAGTGGTATCATTCATTATTATCTTTGTACATCATCTGTTTTATTTCTGCAGATTTTAACACACCAATGATCTCTATGAAAAAAATAATGGTGTCTTTTTTCAATCCAACAGGTAAAAACATTGGAGACCTTGAAAGAGCCTGCAGGGAAGGATATGGTTGCAATGGATAGCAGTCCCACCAGCCCATCAGACCTAGCTAAGCTGGAAAGCTCAGTCCTTCCAATTCTTGAGGCAAAGGCAACCACGCAACAAAATGATGATGATGAGGAGGAGAAACTAACAGACACTTTAAAGTCCAGACGTAGATTAGAGGTGCTTCCTCTCTCACTAGACTCCCCAAGCTCAGAAGATGACAGAGAACTTTCTGATAAGAATGCCAAAGGCTCCACAAAGAAAAAGCTTCTTGTGCCCATGGATGTCAGGACAGATTCGCTGGATGATAGCAGTGAAAGCTTTGGGAAGGAGAGCCCAATGTCTGGGGATGATGAGGACTTTATTCGAAAACAGATCATCGAAATGAGTGAGAATGAAGATGCTTCCCCGTCTGATGAGGAAAACCTGATCCAGCGTAAGATCAGAGATCATGAGAAGAAACAAATGGAGAAGAAGACAACAGAGGCAGTAGAGCGGAGTTCATCAGGAAAAAACCGAAGACTTACCAAGAAAAGCACAATAAGTCCAGATGATGAAGAAGATAAACAACTCCATGGCTCGTTGGATAAACCTGATATAGACAAAGAGGTGGGACAAGAACAAAAAGAGTCTCAGAGTGGTACTGGAGTTCGCCAATTCCAAACTATGGAGCTGAATTCTACCAGCAGCCCAATACGCATACCTAACGATGGAGAGCCTGAAATGGAAAGCCTTACAGACTCTCCTGATGATCGATCTAGAGGTGAAGGGTCGTCCAGTCTACATGCTTCCAGCTTCACTCCTGGGACATCCCCAACATCCATTTCATCACTGGATGAAGACAGTGACAGTAGTCCAAGCCATATCCGTTCTGGTGAGGGTAAACAACACAGGAAAGCCAAACACAGACAACCTGGTCAAGTGCTGCCAACTATCGAAGACTCTTCTGAGGAAGAAGAGTTACGAGAAGAAGAGGAGCTACTCAGAGAGCAAGAAAAGCAGAAGGGCTCTGGGAAGAAATCTAAGAAAGACAAGGAAGAGATTCGTGCCCAGAGGAGGCGAGAGCGTCCAAAGACGCCACCAAGCAACCTTTCCCCCATTGAAGATGCCTCACCAACAGAAGAACTGAGGCAAGAGGCTGAGATGGAGGAAATCAGGCGATCATCTTGCTCAGATTTCTCCCCCAGTATTGAATCAGACTCTGAAGGATTTGAAATCCACCCCTCAAAGATTGCAGCAGTTCAGAAAACCTATCAACTGCCTCTATCAGTATCTCTTCACTCCCCTTCAGATGATAAATCGAAGAACAAATCTCTCAAATCTGCTGATGAGGCTTACGAGGAAATAATGCTAAGGGCGAAGTCTCCAACACTTGAGCAAGGTGAGATTCAACCCGGAAAAGAGTCCATTTATGGAGGCATGCTTATAGAAGACTACGCTTATGATTCACTTATTGACAATCCAACAACTGACCTTAGGGAGCCAGAAAAGATTGCTGTTCCTTCTCAGCCCAAACCACTGAGATCACCAGATGAAGTTTATGAAGACATGATTAAAAAGAGGCAGGAATTCATGAAGCTGGAGCAAGAATATGAAAAAATTCAGCCTAAAAAGGAAAACACTTATCCAGAAATTGTGTTGCAACCTGCTGAGAATACATTCTCCAAAAGCAGCGAAGTAACCTTAGGCGCAGATGGGAAGCCATTGTTGGATGCTGAAACTGCCTATGAAGAGCTAATGAAAAAAGTGCTGACTCCTGGAACAAGTCCAACTCAGCAGGATCCAGAAGTGGAAGCCACTGCTTATAGAAAGGCACTCCATCCCATTCCAGACTTAAGGGTGACGCAATGCTCTTCAGGAGAATTGTCTTCTGATGACGAGAGTATGATAAAAAAGGAAAAAGGTACAACTGCAGTATCAGGCACAACATCAGCTATGGAAACTGACCCTGTAACAGTGTCCGAGTGGCCCCAATCATCCACATCAGATCAACAACCTCAAACCACAATTGCTGAATTACAGGATGATGTTGTTGACTTATCCAGTGCACTCCCAAAAACATCAGCCACTGTAATTGCCAGTGTTTCACCCCTGCCCACAGTCCCACAGTACACACCGAGTATTCCTAGCGTAGTCTCTACTGCCCCACCTCTACCCCCTAAGCCAAGTGTCCTGTGTAGGGCTAATTCTCAGGAAAAAGCAGAAGTACCTGTTCCACCACCACTGCCTCCTCCAACTCCACCAAAACCTACAGTTTTTCCAAGGAAAGCCCCAGTTCCACTTCCACCTCAGGCTTCAGCAACTCCAATGAGGCCAGAGATAGGGGCAGTGACTGCAGCCCAAGGACCTCCTACAAGACAAGCAGTGACACCAATGTACAAGCCTCATGTTCCTCCCCCTGTTGCCCCAAAGCCATCCATTCATTCACCAGGACATTGTGTCAAACCACCAATTGCACCAAAGCCTGGCTCCCAGCCTTCTTCACCTGCCCATGCCCCATATCCATCCAGACCCTCTGTACTTCCCACTGGTCCTACTGAAATGACTGCTCTAAATCTGAGCCCTTCTTCTGAGAGTAAGCATTTCCATCCCTCGCCAAAGTCACCTTCTTCTCCAAGATACACCAGGAATCTACGTGACACATATGTAGTTATTACACTGCCATCTCAGCCTAGCTCTCCTGTAGAAGGTATTTCCACTATGGCTCCTTCTAGCCCTGGCCCAGCATCCCCTTCACACCAAGCTCAGCCCCAAAGTTATCACCAAGCACAGCCTCAACATAATTCAAATCCACCGCAACATCAACAACCAATCCCTCCTCAAACAACCAGGGTGCCTCTGGCATATACTCGATTCACAGAATCCATTGAAAGTCAAGAGATTTGTGGCCCAGAAAAACATGTATCTAGTTCTTGTCACATAATTGAGGCTATATCTGCCTCAACACAGCCACCTGTGGTTATGCCTAACCTGATCTCTCAAGTAGTCACCACCGAAGTCCAAAGGACCACTGTCTCTGTTGTTCATGAAAGGACAACACCACCAGTACCAGCTCCAAGGGCAAATGGTGTCCCAATCTCAATGGAGAAACTTAAGCCCCAATTGCCAGCACAAAATGGACAGGCTGTCCAACCCTTTGAGGTGGTGGATCTTAGGACCGTTAAGGTTGATCAAGCTTCAGATATGAATGGTGTGGATCTATCTGCTGGCCCAGACTCAAGACGTCAGACTTTTCCAACTGAAATCAGTCGCCAAAACAGTGCAGTGCAGTCACCTGTAGTCAACCTTAGTGCTGAATCATCCACTGTTTCTATAGTGACTGATAGTATCACCATTGTGACCTGTGCTGCCACAATCCAGCAATGTGACAATGTAGACACCTCTCTAGTATCTTCAGGTCCTCTCGAGCTAACAAAAGTCAAAGCTTTTGAGCCTGTTTCTCAAATTATATATCGACCAATTGATTATCAGCGCTCCACTAATGTTGGTACCGAGATTCCTATTAACCTATCAGTTGGATCAAGTACAGGTGGAGGAACTTTCCAGACCCCCCCTGTCACTATTGCACCCACTTATATAGCGAGTTGTGCTGCAAATGGATTAACTACGGGAACAACCACAGTGGCAGGAGCTGTTGACCTAAGCACAACTAAACCATTCAACACTATGGTATCAATGGATGCTGCTTCTGCAGAGATGGTCACAGCTGTAATCACAGATGATGACGGCAAACCAGTGGATCTGACTGCAGGAAAAAAAGCAGTATGCTGTGATGTCATGTTCCAAATCCCATTTGCAGGAAGCTGCACTTCTCAACAACCTACCACACCTCTACCTGAAGATCGTTTTGGATATCGGGATGACCATTACCAGTATGACAGATCACCTTACAGCATGAGAGGTTTTGGTGGAATTAAACCTTCAATGTCCGAGACAAACTTAGCAGAAGCTGGTCTGTTCTTTTACAAAAGTAAGAACAGCTATAATTTCAGTGGCACAACCGAGGGTGCAGTAGATCTTACCTCGGCAAAGATTTCTGATGCAGGTCAGTGGAGTGACATTGCTGACCTGTCACTTAAATGTCAATTTGAACTACCTCAACTCATTTATGGCTAAAAGACATTATTTTGTTTGTTATGCTTTTCTTTTTGTCTTGCATGGAAATTCATCTTTTTTTTCCTTTTATTTTTACTCTTTCACCACATCTTTTTGTTGCATGCTGTGATCTTGTTTATACGTATTGCACTTCCAAACATTGGATTTTCTTTCTCCATTTTTTTCTCCCCCATTAATTGGATAAAGCATGGCTTGCTTCATCATTGAATAAGTCTGCATTATTTGGACTCAACTGATATTTTTGACTTTTGACAGGTGAAGCTGTTGACTACTCCAAGAAAGGGGCTTATGCAGGAATGACAATTCCACCATATTCCCAGACCAGAGTCACAAGTGCTGTTGGTACACTCTTTGGTACAAGCAGTGTCTTGAGGTCATCAAATGGCGTGGTCTATTCCTCTGTTGCAGCACCAATCCCATCAACGTATGCCATTACCAACCAACCTGGGTCCATCTTTAGCACATCATACAACTCTCTGTCAGGTATGCATACCAGTGACACTATGCCCTCCCTGTCCAACCTCCAGAACTTGCCACTTACAAGATCCCACAGTTTCCTGTCGACTATCTCCATTACTGCAACGGAAGAACAAGGAGATGCCCCACTTAATCTAGAGATCTCAAGAAGGGGTAGCATTGCTGGTGTCACCACATTACCAGCTTCCTTATCCCTTGACACTTACACTGATGCATCGCTAGAAGCAATAGCGGCTTCACTGGAAGCTCTGTCTTCACCCATGGTTCCTGGGGATGGCCAGTATCAGGCAGAGCGTGAGAGGCTAGAGATGGAGAAACTGAATCAACAGCGCCTGGCTGAGGAATTAGAGTGGGAGCGCCTGGAGATTCAGCGATTCCGAGAGCACGAACAGGTCTTGGTGCAGAAGGAACTGGAGGAGCTGCAGTCCATGAAGCAGCATATCCTGAACCAACAAGAAGACGAAAGACAGGCCCACCTTATGATGCAGAAAGAAACATATGCCCAGCAACAGCAGCAGCTTGAGCAGATTCAAAGACTCCAAGAGCAACTGCGCATGCAGCTGGAAGAGCAAAAGCTTCGTCAGATGTACCCAGGTGGGGACATGCCCGGTCACGGTGTGCAGGAGGCAGTTGTTTTGGGACCTGATGGCACAGTGCTGTCTCGAAAGATCACGGATAGTGGGTGCCAGACAGATGACGAGGATGAGACAGTTAGTAAAGCTTACACTGCAGGTAGAAAAAAGAAGAGTGCTAAAAAGAGTGTTGACAGTTGTGTGCAGACTGATGATGAAGATCAAGACGAATGGGAGGCTGAGACCAGAAACCGTCAAAGCCGGCCACGCACTGCCAGGGGTGATAGGGGTGGGCAGTCAGATATGTCTTTTAAAGCCCACACTGAGATTTCTATACAAACAGATTCTGAGGGGAACATTATAATGGACACCAGGATGGAGCTGTCTGACTCTGAAAGGACCTCACCTAAGAAACGACCTACCCCCTTGGAAATAGGCCAGTCTTCTAACCTCAAAGTTGATTCCTCCACACTAGCACCTTCTAAATCTGCCAACGTACTCTATTCCCCAATATCTCCCTGTATATCCCCTAGCAAATCCCTTGAGTTCGTGTCCTATGAGAAAAAACTGGGTGATACAAGCCCACAAAACCTAAAGGGGAGTCCAGATCCAGCAAGTCCCAGGGGACAAAAAGGCATGCAGAGATCCATGTCTGACCCTAAGCCCGTGAGCCCAACAGGAGAAGAAAGGGGAACCTCTGGGGATAGCTACACTGTGAGTATTGAACGTATAACTTCAATTAACATAAATATAAGAAAAAACAAGTGCTGGCTGACAAAAAGACACATTTGAATTGTGTCTGAAGTGTTCTTTTGGTTAATAAAATATCCTGGTAGCAGCTCCAATGAAGGCAGTGTTTGTCCTTTGCTTTGGTTGTAATGCTTCTCATATTGCAACTTTGATTCACCTTCTCATTTAAATACATGTCATCTCCTAACAGTACCATATTTTTTCACTCACACATCATCTTATAGTTATTAAGATATTATTTCTGTGAATAATTCAGTTTAAAATTACTCCTCATGTAGAACTAAACATTAGTCATGACCATTCTTCGTGACATAATTGCTCAGTGGTTATATCTATTTTGCCCCGTGGCGAGAGTTTGCATGTTCTTTTCATGTTTGCATGAAGAAACTTGCACACCATACTGTATGACATTTTGTTCACCACACAGCTGGCCTTAGAAGAGTTGATTCACCCACATTGCTGCACTTTGACTCCTTAGTAATAGAGAATTTTTCTAGCAGAGATAGAAGAAAACGCTCCATTAATTGATCCTAATGTTATACAATGCTGCTGGTTCCATCTTGCACATTGCGAAGTGTACTATATGTAAAAGCTTAAACTCTGAATGTGAAAGTAAAAGGAACAACTGAATAGGTTGCACATATTCACTTTTTTTCTATGGTGCTCCTGGCCCTCATAGGGTATGGAAGTCAGTTTTCAGCCTGGGCAATTCAATGTTGAGAATCTCATACATACATAAAAGGATGGGAAATGAGCTGAGCTTGCAAGAAAATGCTGAGCTGTCAGAGATCCACAGAGGCTTAGTGTGAATAAATTACTTCTTTTTTTTTTTAAACCAAACGTTGAATTTAGTGAGATTGTGGGTAACATTTATGGGCAGGAATAAATATCTTACTGGAAGGCACGAAAGGTGCAAAAATGGGTGTATTTCAATAAACTTTCTTACACTTCACATTTTCTAGTCTATATCCTTATTTAGTGTCGTTAAACACTAAATAAGTGTTATCGACACTTAAATATTAACATTATACAGACATTAGAATGTATGCACTTTTTTCCTTTGAGACAACTGAGATTGTGAATAAAAACAGCAATAATCTGTTAATCTGTCAATAATGTTAATTTTACATGGCATTCCGTTCAGAGAAATTATTTTTTACATGTTAATGACTACATAACCTGCTGAATAATTCATTCTGGGGATTAGGACATTTGTTTTGATTCTGAAGTCCTAATACGTTCTTTGTTTACTTTTCATACAGGGGAAAAGCTCAGGTAGCACACCAACAGGCACTCAAAAGAAGGTGAAGAGGACGCTTCCCAATCCACCGTCAGAGGATGAGTCAACAACAACTGGTCAGACAGCATACACCACTGGTTCGGCCCGCCGAAGAATGTGCCGCAATTCCAACATGGCACGTGCCAAGATACTGCAAGATATAGACCGTGAGCTGAATCTAGTGGAGCGTGAGTCTTCAAAACTCAGGAAAAGACAAGCAGAGCTGGATGAGGAGGAGAAAGAGATTGATGCCAAGCTCAGGTATTTGGAGATGGGCATTAATCGTAGAAAAGATGTCCTACTGATGGAGAGAGAGAAGAGAGAAAGGGCCTACTTACAGAGTGTTGCTGAGGATAGAGACTACATGTCAGACAGTGAGGTTAGTAACATCCGAGAGACAAGAGGTGGGCTTGGAAGTGAAGATGTTGAGATTGAAAGTCATGGTCTTGAACGTCCCAGGACAGCTCCCCAGGCAGAATTGGATGAGTTTGTCCCACCTCAAACCAAGCATGAGTATGGAAAATACTCCCAGTACCAATACAATCAAACCCAATACCAGCAGTCTCTCTACCAGACTCCTCAGTCCTACCAATCTCACTCTCTGTACTCCTCTGTCCCCTCGCTCACCAGCGCCCAGCAGCAGAGTTACCACCAGATGCTTCTGTTGCAGCAGAAAGCCGCTAGACAAGCAGCCCTCCTCTCAGAGCTGGATGCAGCTAAATATGAAGTCATTAGCCGCCAACCTGATCCCACATCATCAGCTTTCCTGGGGGTCAAGTATGACAAATATGGCAACCACCTTGACCTCAGAGCGTTGGATGTGGGAAATATGGCACGTAGCCCAATGTCAGCTGTCTCTGATTCCTATTACACCGATGTAGATCATCATACACCTAGGAGTTACATGTTGCTAGAAGATGCTGCAGAACTTGCTAAGGGTTCCACAGGTATGTCTTCATCTTACAGTCTGGCGGAGAGGGAGCTGGCCAAAGCAGAGAAGCTTCTGCGTAGGAGTGCTGCAGATCTGGGATCTACTGACTATCTGGGATCCACCTCTAGACTCCATACTTATGGAAAGACCCCTGATGAAGAGGATACAATGGAGGAACCCTATGAACTGAAACTACTAAAGCAACAGCTCAAGCAAGAGTTTAGGAGAAGTACAGGTGGGACAGAAAACTTGGAACAACTGACAGGGCTGTCACAACACTACTATACCCCAAGCTCGAGCGTCTCTAGTTACTCCCAAAGAAACTATCCAAAGACAGACAAGTACAGCATCAGTCGACTTACTCTAGAGAAGCAAGCAGCTAAACAACTCCCGGCATCGATGTTGTACCAAAAACATAAGACTCCATTGATAGAACCTAAGATCTCCTCCAAGTATTCCTCTATTCCAGATAACAGAGGCTTGGAGACAGACTATAACTATCTTGGGTCTACCAGTGCATCAGCAAGAGCCAGCCGGCTCTCTCAAGATGAGATCACCTTTGGCCTTCGTAAGAATATTGCAGAGCAACAAAAATACCTGGGGTCCACCTTGGGTGCCAACTTGGCTGGGTCATTAAACCTGGGCCAGAGTTTAGGATTGGACTCTGCATATCCCAGTGGTAGTCGCTCAAGACCCTCATCCAGGCCCACATCTTGCTATGGGTTGGACTTGTCTCTCAAAAGAGACCCTTCCAGCTCTTCACTGAGGCTCAAAGGGGACGGGGAATCATCTGGAGATGTACCAAGCTATCAAACCCCCTCTGGCCGCACCAAACCTACCAGCCTTCCCATTGTACAGAGTGGCCGTGGCCGATTACCCATAGTGGCCCAGAACTCAGAAGAAGAGAGTCCGTTGAGCCCTGTTGGGCAGCCAATGGGCATGGCCCGTGCCTCAGCGGGACCTCTGCCACCTATATCAGCAGATTCAAGGGACCAGTTTGGTTCCTGCCTGTCCTTGGAGGACTCCCAGCAGCAGCAACTTATCAGGGAAGAGCCAACCAGGGGTAGGGGTTATGTGCTGATGGATGACCTTCAAGGCACCATGTCAGATAGTGAAGGTAAAAAACAGACATGTCACTCTGTCACTCTTTTCCTACTGAATGTTTCATACTTTAGAGTGTCTGGTTGTGGTTTATTTTGCTTGCATGTATTGTGTATAACATATAGCTGTGTCTTTATTGAAATGCTGCATGTGTCTAACCTTAATTTTGGTGAATGTATTATCTCTTTATTTTTGGTTCTCACTAATGTTGGTCTATCAGCTGAGATCTGGTGTGCATGCATGCCTTTGTTCATTTTGCTTTTTGTGGTTGAATGTAATCTTTATGCATGCACTGTGTTGCTTTCTGCATTTAAGATATTGTGTAACATTTCCAGTATTAATTCACTGCATGACACTGTAAAGTCTAACTTCCTGTTACTGCTATATTGCGTGGGAGGTTCCCGTCCTTATATAGAAATGCCTCACTGGTGGCAGTCAGCATTTTATATTAAAGAAGATTTTCATTGTATTAAAATCCTGCTTGTTAGACATTCAAGGCAGAGCAGGCTAATCCTTTGAGTCTTAAATCAGATTTAGACAAAGAAAAATCCTCAAATTATACACGTAAAAAGTGCCGCACCATATGAAAATGTACCATTTGGTACAAAAGAGTTTTAATTGAATTAGGTATTATACATTTACACTTAATAACAACACATATTGTAAAAAAAATAGCCAATTGTACATTAACTATCTTTTTGGATTTTCCAATAGTGTGAAATGTAATTTAGATGGTGGATAATGTTGGTGTATTATCATCATATTTAATTGTATGAAAAATAAATGTGGGTTGAATCATAGTATCAAGTTATAGGCAAGATCAATAACATTCTGAGAAAACAACAGTGTGAAGCAGGGTACTGTCTTATTTGTGGAAATGCATGATATTTGTTTGCAACACTTATCTGTGTGTAATAAATATAACAATTTAACTTGCATGTTTTGTTGTGGTTGCTTGTATGACGATATATAATTGATGTTGTGTTGCATGGAATGTTGCATTCATTTCTTGTAACATTCACTATTTATTTGTCTCTACTTTCAATGAAAGCAAACTGTGCAGAATGTGCGAGTGTCTTCCAACAGGAAAGACTATTATTTAAAGCAAGAACTAAATAATTTCAGTACATCTCAGTTTGCTTCTGTTTTGCTAATAAAAGCCACAAATCATCTATTCAATATTTAGCAATATATTGTTGATGCACACTTCCAGTGATGGCTAAAACCATTTTATTATAAGTGATTTTTTAAGTACCAATATGCAACAATGAGTTTCCATAGTTTCCAAACTAAGAGCAGTGTTTTGGAGGTTCAGATTTTAATAAAGGTTACAATGTTTCTTTCTATTTTAAACATTTAAATATCCCAGTTCGGATTTGTCTTGGAAGCATAATAACTTGTTAATACATTCCAATGGATCCCAACATTATGCAATGTAAACCAATTTGCCTTGATTCCAGCCCTAAGTGATTCGCTGATGGCTTTGAACAGAGACGACGCAACCAATGGTAGAGTATTAGTTCAGTTCTATAGTCATTCATAAGCTATCACATTAAAATGCACCTAAGGTCTAATGCACATCACCATTATTTTTACTGATAGGCCTACCGTTTAAAGAAAGTACTTTCACGATTGGAGTTATGAATAATGTAAAATATCTACATACCCAAGATTTACATTAATAGAAAATAACTGCATTATAGGTGCTAATAATAATGCTGATAGTACAAACTACTACATTTCTTTGGTTCTGTTTTGTTTTTTACATTACCCTTAATGTTGTTTTGCTTGTCAGTCCTCTCTAGCAAGGAAGTAAAATAATATTAAACTCCTTCTCTGGCCCTTGTTTTTCTCATATTTCTATCCCAACTGTAATTGATGTAGATTTATTTATAAATACAAATGTGCTTAAAGCATTTTAATAACCCTTATATGAACTGAAGAAGCCCGTATAGTGGGATGAAGCAGCTCAAGTTCTAAGATCTGTTCTGAAGTAGTTCTTGTTTTAATCCCTAAAGCCTACCACCTTAGACGAGAGGAGACCGACTGGTTTGACAAACCTAGAGACGGCCGTTCAGAGAATGGCCAAGAGAAGAGACAGGTGAAAACCTTCTCTACACAATTTTACTGTAGTTAAATTCTTGCACGGCAATATCTACTGGTCTATTTGTTATGTAAAAATCACCTTGATGCAGAGCTACCATAATGTACTGTTTCCCGTTGACCTTGTACACAAATGACACTTCCCAATTGTGTGTGGACCACAGGGAAAAGGCCCATACTACCCCTTCCCTCACCTCAGGGTCAAACTGCAGAGGGATCCCAAAGATCGCAGTGTCTCAGGTAAAGTATCACAATATTCCTTCAATAAAAAGAAAAGTAGCAAAGAAAATGGCTTCAATTGCAAGCTAATGCATTATTGACTGTAATGCATTCGATTTTATTGAGCTCGTTGCTTACTGACTGCATTTAATATGCACCGTTTACAGCATACACATTGTTTTACCTTTATTTAATTTGAAAAATTTAAATATAGATTCAAAATCATTCAAAAAGAACTAATACAGTCAAATGTACACATTAATATGTATCATGATCCCATTAGGGTTTACAGAGCATGACCGGTGTGCTTCATGCGTTCTATTTACTTGATATTCATGCCAGATCTCATGAAACTGACGAGTCACTTCCCCTGCCATTACGTTCCATCACACTATTCTTCCAGGCTCAAAGCAGTCGGACATTTCCTGGCTTCTCTTATGGTTTGGCTCTTTTCCACACTCATCAGTCATTTCCATGCTCAAAATGGCATATCCCTCACATTCAGGATTATCTTACACAATTAACAAATAGCCCACAAAGTCAGCATTTTGTTTATTTTGTGCATTACTGAGTCATTTCTATTCTATCTCAGTTGTTTTGTTCTTGCTTCAAAAAACATGTTAAATATTTAGTTTTGCTTCTGTGTATGTGAATGCATTTTATTTTACCTGTGGGGGTACATGATAGATCAATATGTGTTTTGTGGATAACTCATAGAGAGGTTCGCATTTATAATGTTTTTTTTTTTAGATCATTTTCTACAGAAGCTGTAAAATGTATAGAAAATGTTTTAAAATGAGTAAAAGAAAGGTTGTAGCCTTATGCGTTATTGTTAAATCTGCGTAAATATCTACATAGCTAACAAACTACCAATAATACCTTCAGATAAACGTTATTCTGATTATTTATCATGCATGATTATAGGGAAAAATGTGGGCCATCTGGTTGTTAGTGTCCTTCTACTTTTACTAGTCAATTGAGTTATATACAGTGTATTAAAATCAATGACAAATGTATCTCAAATTGATAACATTAATATGTAATTTAAGTAACCACACCAATTCCCATCAATTTGAGTCAAAGCTTAACTGACAATACTGCTACTCTGCTAAGCTCATTAGCTTCCATCATGATTGGATTTAAAGGGGACCTATCATGCAAAATGCACTTTTTGATGTCTTTTATACATAAATATGTGTCCCCGGTGTGTCTGGGAACTCACGCAGCGAGAGAAAATAAAACCCTTTCTCTTTTCCTCCCTACCCAAATCTCTAAAAACGGGGCTACAACGGCGCTGATCCAGATTTGCGTATGACTTAATATCGGAAATGTAGGCTGGCTTTACACCCACGGCCCTATCAGAAACGTTGCTATCAGAAATGTTGCCCGTCTGTTTTGGACGTAATATGGTCGGTGCATGTTTACATTAGCATCTCTAACACTCAGAGCTAACCTGTACTGCACAGAGCATGTGTGTGAAGAAGCAGGAAATAAAAAGGAACTCACCTTGTGGTATAGCCGGCAAGAGAGAAAGCATTTGAGCTCCATACTGTTTCAGAAATAATCCTTGATAATCCATGATATGGCGTTTCATCACCGCAGTATCTGCTGGTAGAATCTCCCGCATGAGCTCAGCCCCCTCCTTTTTTTTATCAATCTTTTTTTTTTTAAAGCTTTATACCCCAAATCAGCGCTTTTGAAACAGGAAGTGAAATGGAGGGATATGAGGCATGGCTAGAATGGGTGATCTGTTTGATATTTTGAGCAAAAAACTTGATAGACATCTGAGTCTATACTATTGCCTACAAATAGCATGATAGGTGACCTTTAACTTTAACCTCTTTTAGTTACGAGGAATAATTAACTTAAGCAGGTAGCTTAAACAAAGGATTTAACTAGGGGAATTTTGAAATGACTGTAGGCTATTTCGGCTGTTTCTGTAAGTTTTAGAGTCTGAATGGGTTTGTGGACAAAGAACAGGTTAATAATTTAACTTTATTTACACTAATATTGCACTCACAAGTTTTTGTTTTTTTTTCTATACAGGAAATGGTCTGGGTATCCGTGTGGTTGGAGGGAAAGAGGTCCCTGCAAGTAATGGAGACATTGGAGCCTATGTAGCTAAAGTCTTACCAGGTGGAGCTGCAGAACAAACAGGAAAGATTCTTGAAGGTAAACTCTTCTACCAACAAAAAACAAATTCATAAT